TAGAATAGAATAGAATAGAATAGAATAGAATAGAATAGAATAGAACAGAAGCAGTGAAGTGAATAGAATAGAGTAGAGTAGAGTTGAGTAGAATAGAATAGAATTACAGAATAGAATAGAATAGAATAGAATAGAATAACAGGTCTGGAAGGGATCTCAAAGATCTTCTAGTCCAACCCCATCAGGCAGGAAACCCTATACCATTTCAGACAAAGGGCAGTCCATTCTCTTCTTAAAAACCTCCAGTGTTGGAGCACCCACAACTCCTGGTGGCAAGCAGTTCCATTGGCTGATTGCTCTAACCATAAGGAATTTTCTCCTGAGTTTCAGGAGGCTCCTCTCCTTGTTTAGTTTCCATCCCTTGCTTCCTCTCCTGCCCTCTGGGGCTTCGTTCCGCTTCCGTTCCGCTTCTCATCCAAGAAGCTCCTTCTGTTCAGTTCAATTCCCTTCACGGAGAACTGAAGAAGCTTCGATCTAGGATGAGGAATAATTTTTTTTCAAAGGGAGGGGAGAAGTCCAGTTGCCCTTTGGAAAAAGCACCCCTGGGAAAACCATGACCTGGAATGATGGAGAACCTCCCTAAACAACGGTGGAGGCTGTTGGGAACTGTAGTTCATGTTGGGAACTGTACAGTTCATGTTGGGAACTGTAGTTCAGTGGGAGGTGAGTCCATCCACAAGATACCATCTTAACTTTTCTGGATTCCTTTGCCGATCTTCCTAACTTCATTAATATCTAGAATCTAAACTTTCCTGGCTCTGAAGCAAAAGGCACAATTTTTCAGAAACGGGGATTTCTTTTTCTGCCCCGATCCACCAAATTTCCCCGTCCAAACTCGCCCACCACGGGATGACAATATTTCCCAGGAGGCTAAATCCATCTCTCAACTGAAAATAAATAAATAAACCAAAAAAAATACTCGGCTTAACGTTAAAGGCGTTAAAGAGGGGGTTCTGCAACCTTCGCCCCCTTTCATTCAAATGGCATGATTGAGACTTGACATCCATCAAATTGGATGCGCTTTGAGTCGCTCGGCTGCCACATTTTGAAGCGCAGACATCCGAGGTAAACTTGGAGTTGCTTTAAGGAAGAGAGTAAGCGTGGCGTATTTTATCAACCTTCAGATCGTTCTCCCTTGGGAAATCAAACCTTAAGCCTCCCCGTTCTAGCATTTTTCAAAAAATACTCTGAAATTACCTGAAGCCAGAGTAGAAGAGGTTTTCCCACCGTTAGAATACGGCAACGATGTCCACCACACGCAGCGTGTTTCTATCACATCAGGGGAAAATAAAATAAAATCCCTAAACCCACCCCCCTACCCCCAGACACACACACACACCCCCAAAAAAACCTCAGTAATAAATTAAACCTTATGAAAAACAGATATAAAAGTTCTTCAAGTGTAAGAAGTTATCATGCAAACAGGCAGGCAGTTTGGGTTGGAAAAAAAAAAGGTGTTTTGACCTCTCCGTTCACGCCATCCAACGTTATTTTCGGCCGATGAAAGAGCGGGTGGGAAAAAAACAACAACCCCGAGAGAATGATGGTTTTGAGGTACCACCACCGAAACATCCGGATGGGATCGAGTCTACGAAGACACTGGAGGCTCTTGGATAAAATTAGGCTTCAAGGATTTGTCAAACAGAACAATCCCATTTTATAAAATGATTTGTCATTTGCAAATGGAAAGAACCTGAAAAGGATCTGGGTGGATTGCCAGGGTCCCAATAATGTACATGCTACGCAGGAAACGTGCTGTTGTTGTCGTTTTTACGGTAATGGAGACATTTTGATTACTTCTCGTAATATATTTCACAGCCTTTTTAAACCCACAAAAGAGCGGCCCAGTGGCCCAGAGGTGGAGTTCTGGCCTCACCATCAGGAAGCTGTGAGTTAAAGGCAGATATTTCTCTCTCTCTCTGGGCACAATGAGATTAAATCTGCTGAACAAAACTCCACAGGGGTGACAGGAAAGGCATCCGGCCAGTAAACACTCAGCTCCATTCAGCTGCCCAGACTCCACCCTGCAACGGATTACGGGGTCATGAAAAGAGGATGACTTAGACCCACAAAACCTTTTGGATACTCGCATCCGGCTTGTTCATCAAACCTCGCCCCGATCAGAGTTAACGCTCTTCTCACAACCTGGCGTTTACTCGCCCGGGAGGAACCCGCATCCTTCTACACCTTTGTGTAAGTAGCACTTCCTCAGCAGAGCAGCCGGCACAGCTACACTTCCGGTAACGGTGGGCTCCTGCCAAATTCTTTAATTCCCTGAAGAATTCGCTTCATATGACCCACTTTCGTTATCCCCAAATCCTACGGGACAAGGGAGAAGAAAGATTCATTCACATAAATCCAGAGTAGCAGAAGATAATTTAACTTTTGGCAATAAAGCTAGTTTAGAGAGCACCCATTTTAGTCAATTCGTTCATTTTTCCCCACATACATATCAACTTATTTAGACAGTGGTGTGGTGGCCCTAGAGGAGGAGCTCCTGCCTCACAATCAGGAAGCTGTGAGTTCAATCCTAGGCAGAGGCAGATATTTCTTTCTCTGTGCACAATGAGAATATATCTGCTGAACAAAACTCCGCCCTAGTGACAGGAAGGGCATCCGGCCAGTAAACACTCCGCTAGCTCCATTTAGTTGCCCAGACTCCACCCCTCAAGGGATTATGGGGTCATTAAATGATGATGATATCAACTTATCTAAGTGATACGGAATTTTGTTTCTAATGAAAACTTTTGTAAAAGAAGTGGTGCTGTCTATTTTTTTCCCCTGTATTCTTTATTTCTTAGATTTTTAGACTTGGTTTGTCTCCCTGGAACGTGGAATGATACCAAATCAAATTTTACAAGGATCCACATTCGTTTCTTGAATGGCAGCTATGGAAACGACCGTTTTGCCGTACCATCTTCAACTATCCAGCTAAGGCAACTAAAATAACCAGCCACAGCCTTAAATATCAAAGCAAGCGTTCGGAAATCGAATAGAACAAAATAGGCATCAGAAATAAATATTGATTTCAGATCACAAACGAAGTCACTTATACATGATGTCGTCCTACAACAAAGTGGTTTTTGTTCTATTTTTTAAAAATGTGGTTGGGGGCACATCTTCATAGGATTTCAAGATCGGAAAGCAAGTCCCCAGCTGTTGTGGCCTGACAGCGGCCAGCGGATCTGGCAGCAGATTTGGACAGTGAGGAGATTGGGGGGAGGAACCTGGGCCAGTCCTGGAGTCTGAGGAAGCTTCTTGGATGAGAAGTGAAATGTCTTCAATAGAAAAAAACAAGTAAGTCCAGTTGCCTCATGAAAAAAGCACTTTTGGGACAACCATGACCTGGAAGACTGAGAATCTCCACAGGTATCTCCTTTGTAAATGTTTGCTTCTCATCTAAGTAGCTTCTTCAGTTCTTCTTCTTCAGAACTGAAGAAGCTCCTTGGATGAGAAGTGAAACGTCTTCAGATGAAACCAAGGAAGTCCAGTCGCCTCTTGAAAAAAACACTTTTGGGACAACCATGACCTGGAGGGCTGAGAATCTCCAGAGACAATCAGCTCACGGAGTAATTCACATGTAATGAATTACAAGAGGTTTACGCTCCTGTTTTGCTGCCGTTGCAGCCTCCAGCGGACTTCGTTCAAAACCCAGAATTTCCACATTGGTTGGCCTTTTCCTAGTTATGCACTGCTGCCCTCCGATGTCCATTTCAATTCATGCTTCCACTGACCGGCTCCAGTTTACGACGGCCTGACAGCGGAGCAACACAACAAGAGCTCAGAGTTTCGCTGAGCTTGGCTGTTAAAAGATATTTTGGGGGGGTCGATATGATCTTCCCTAAAATTAATAAATGTAATTGGTTTTCCTCCATTTTCTCTTCTCCTAAACCCCACCATGAAACACGAAGGCGGCTAATCCTCAATGTACCCTGCTCATTTAGTGACCGTTTGAAGTTACAACAGCCCTGAAAAAAGTCACTTCTGACCGTTGTTCACACTTACAACCTTTGTAGCTCCCTGTGGTCACGAGATCAAAACTTAGATGCTTAGCAACCAACTCGTATTTACGATGGTTGCCAGAGTCCTGGCCTCACAGGATCTCCTTTTGAGACCTCTTGACCAGCAAAGTCAATGGGGGAAGCCGGATTCATTTAATGACCATGTTACTCACAGGGATCCACTCAACAACGGTGGCAAGAAAAGGTCGTAGAATGGGGCAAATCTTCCTTAAGAACGGTTTCGTTTAGCAACGGATATTATGGGCTCCATTGTGGTTGTAAGTCACAGACCCCCTGCATACAGACTTATTTCTGTAACATCAGCAGTCTACGGGGATAAACACACCCAAGTTGTTACTACAATGCAAAATTCGATGCCAGTAAACCTTTCAAAGATGTCTTATCCAAGTTCTTTGTGCTTGTGTGTGTACATGCGCTGCGTGTAGCGTTGTGCGATGCTTTGCAAACACTTGGGAAGCATACAAGAGTGCAAACGTAGCATCCCTCTCTGCAGCTCTTTAAAGCAGCCGAGTCCTCACCTAGAATCACACTGCTGGCCTCCGTAATCCAGGAAAAGATGTGGCCACTTTAAAGAGCTACACAAAAGCTACTATGTTTGCTCTTGGAATCAAATCCAGAGCTCTAATTGCTATATTGATTTTTTTTTTTTTTTGTATTCACTCTCTGCTCTTGTTACAGCCCTGAACCAACCTTAAATGCTTGTTTTAACATGCAAACTGGATGTTAAACGTTTCTCTCTCTCTCTCTCTCTCGATCATTATATCTGACAGTTTGTGTTTTTGTAGATTAGGGTTTGACGGAAAGGTGCGAGAAGGACACACATACACCACAAATAATAATAAACAAAAAAACCTACAATGAAACCCAAACTGAACATAATAAGAGCTTGTTTGCCCCAATCTTCTTTCGGGCAGCCCTCCCAAATTCTGGAATATTGCTGGAATATTATTTTCTCTAGATTAGACATACCCAAATCCTGCAACCATTCATACATTTTAGTCTCCAGACCTTTAAATCATCTTAGTTGCTCCTCTTTACGCTTTTTCCATCTTTTTTTGTAATGGGCTGACCAAAACTGGATGCAGAATTCCAGCTGTGGCCTTACTAAGGCTTTAGAAAGCAGTAGTAATACTTTGCAGGATTTTACACCTCTGTTTATCCAACCAAGGATTGTGTCAGCACATGGCTGCCTTGCGTTTAAGGGACTGTCCACTAAGACTCCAAGACCTCTTTCAAAAGGAAAATAGTCGTCCTTCTTAATCTCACCAGGTAGAGAAATTCAGCCGAACAAGACAGCCGTTTTTTTTAGCCAGGTGTGTTATGCCAGGTTGCGTGTTAAAAAGCCAAGCTACAATCGCATTGCTGGGATAGGGAGAGAGGGGTGAGGGAAAGCTTACATCCATCCTTTTGAAAGGCTCTTAAGGCAGGAAAAACAAAAGGTAGCACGACAACGCCAATACCTTCAGGTCTCGCCTCTCCAGGTGCAAAAGTTCGGCCCCTCGGATGTCGTGGCTGATGAAGTTTTCTTTGTATTCTCCCAAATTCAGCAGCTCCAACCAAGCGCCAACTTCATCCGTGCCCCATTTCTGAACTACCAAAGTTAAGAGCAAAACCCCCTTAATTGGTTTCTACATGCTGGGCGGGGTGACAAGCAAAGGGTTAGGCCGTAGATTAGAAAAGTGGGAGAAGGAAGAGAACGAGAGCGAAAACGGTGAATAGCGGCAGAAGTCAGGTAGGATGGGGCAGCAATGTCTGACATGCGGGTTAAAAGTAAGGGAAGCCCAGGGATCTGAGGGCTGCCTGGATTCTAGCCATGCTCTCAGCTCCAACATCCGGCTACGCCGACAACGCTTCTCGGTGCCAATTCATTAGCTTGCCCAATTAGGGTTGGTGCTGTTTGTACGTAATTCCAGGATGTAAAAAATTGCGATTTATGGTTTCCAATAGAAGCGAATAATTTGAAGGTTGAAATGAGAGGCCCTTGGTGCTAGCACTGATGATGTTACCTGGTTTGGGTCATGAAACGTCTGCAAGAAAACAACCAAGCTCAGAGACCACCAGGGACCCCATAGTCCTCCTCCCCCTCTTCCTCTTCCTCCTCCTCCTCCTCCTCTCTGCAAGCCCAACCTCCTTCAAGCACTGATGATGCTACCTAGTTGGGTAATGAAACATCTGCAAGAAAAGAACCAAGCTCAGAGCTCAGAGAGCACCAAGGACCTGACAGTTTTCCTCCTCCTCCTGCTCTTCCCTGCAAATCCCATTCCTTTCTAGCGCTGATGATGTTACCTAATTGGGTAATGAAACGTCTGAAGAAAAAAACCAAGCTTAGAAAGCACCAAGGACCCATCAATATATTGATTGAAATGCAAATGGGGGAAAAATTGCACTTGTGGAGACTTCTTCCATGTTTCATTCAAGCATTACGTCTTTCACCAGGTCAAATAAACAGCTCTGTACATATCATGTGGCCCATACAGAAAGGATTTTAATACTGGATTAGCAATGGAAAAGCAATTAGGTGTGTGTTTGATCAAAAGTTCTTTTATTGGAAGTTACCTATGAGCCGGGATACCTCCAAGAAATCCCAAAGTCAATAATTTCAATGACATTCCTGCAATTAATTAAAAAAATCTTCATGTGGCCATTATTTTTAGTACTTTGAAACTAAAATCCTGGTATGATATTGTTTAAAAACAGGACTTGTGTATGGCTTAATGCAACCTGTAACAATGAGAATACAAAACGAGGAAAGTCTGTTTCGTAATGAAAAGAAATGTTCTATGGAGCTTCAGTATCTAAAAAAGTGTTATTCTTTGTTTGGATAATAGTGTAGTTTCTATGCTGAGTTTTCTGTGGAGGAAACCTTGAACAATGCAGAAATTAATAGCATGTTCTGGAGAAAGGCTCCAACATATTCACAGAGACCATAGGTCAACTTTTGTCTCTTGGAGTAGCTAGATGGTCCCCTCTTAAAACACATTGAGGACCCCATCGCCAAATGTATCCTTAATTCACTCATTTTTAAAATGTAGCCTTCAGTGTGTCACGCAAGATTTGTGGCCTTCTTAAGCTGTGGTAATTACACATCCTTGATCCGCAAGTAGATGTAAAGGACAACTTTCTTGTGGGATAAAACAACTTTGTCAAAGTTGTCATGAAGACGGACTAACAAGAAAGCCAAGACAAGCTCGGTGCATATTGTGTCACACACACACACACACAGTCTACTCACAAACTCTGTCTCTTCCAAGCAACAATATTTTTGAAAACATACCAGGCTGGGCACTGGTCTTCTGTTTTTGAACCTTTTCCTTTTTAAATTTTGGCACTATACGAAACATGGTACTTCGGTTGTTTCGTTTACAGTATTCCAAAGGAGGATCCTAAAAAAAAAAAATTAAGATTATTATTTTTTTCTTTTTCCTCATTTGATGCACCCACCAGTTTATTTGTTAAAAGCAATTAAGATTAAACTGTAATATTTTTTAAAAATAAAGATTCTATCCATATGCAAGATGCGCTTTGTGGGAAAAGATTGTTATAAGTCCAAAAGGTAAAATACAATGGATAAACTTAGTAGGATGAAAGAAAAATGAAATTATCCTTCATTTATCCAAGTTTATCCTTTAAAGGGATCGTGAAATTCGACCTTGAAAAAAATGAACCAGGAAGACAGATTGTCCGCCAAATAGAGGAATTTTAGGAATAATTCTACAATATGAAAATGTCCTGAATGAAGAGTGAAATCATCCTTTTTCAAGACTAGATAACTGTTGGGCATAAATTAACTATATGATGCAGCAATTTTTCAACTAAATTGCATTCCTCATAACTTAAAATCTTACACACAGTAAACAAAAAAACCCCGTATTTATATTCTCTGTGTCCCCTATTCAAATCATAAGTCTCTAGCCGCATCTCTCAACAGTAAAAAAAAAATGATTTATTAGGAGTGGCCATAGCCAAGAGTCATCAATCACGCTCTCCAGTAATAATCTTGTGTGCCAACAGCTTCGGCTGCCAAGGCGATTATCTGAGGCATTTAAGGAATGCACTGCTTTTTCCCACTCCCTTTCCGCTGGCAACTCAAAAGACCAAAGGAGTATCTTTTTAGTTGACACTCTGCTCACACCTGAAAACTGGCAAGGTCAACCCTGAGCTTTTCTACACAAAGGACAGCCAAAAATCCATATTTATCGGTAGCCCAAATAGAACTGAATATGCTTCAAAAAGGGTGCAGAAAAAAAGAATTCAGATTTTGTGTAATAAGCACAGCACCTGCTTAAAAAAAAAAAAAGCACTGAGTTAACCTGGGAAAAAAAGGTGAGGGAGGGATGAAGCTGCTTTTAAACTCTCATTAACTTTTCCGACTCTTTCAAGAGCTTTAAAGCAGCTCCATCTTTTTCAATCTCCATCAGAAGCAATTCCTAGCTTCTGCCGAAAGGATGGTGTGTTCGCAGAAGGTTCAAATACCTCTTCCAATTCATCTTCAAAGTATCCATAAGCTCTGGCAATTTAACTTTCCTGCACTTGGGTCAGATTTTGAAGGCAGAAAAAAAAAAAGGAACGTCGAGGATTGGGGCTTGCACGCGTGAATTTCCACCCACCTCATCATCATTCATCTGCAATATATAGCAGAGCCAAGGGATTTCGGCCATTTTTCTCAGTTCGGTCTCCAAATTGTGCACCGCCGACACCAGCAACTCCTCGCAGGGAGATTCCAATTGCTACCAAAACAGCAAATTATAATTTTGTTAGGCCGAGTTATCTCACAAGAGCCTCTGCCTTTCTGTCTGTCTATCACCTATCTATATCTACATAGATACCTATCTCATTTATCCATCATCTATCAATCAACTACCTCAGGGGTCCTTGGTGCTCTCGGAGCTCTGAGCAGAGAGTCACCATTTCAACCCTGAGCTAGAAATATTCTTCTTTATTATTACCAACTATCTAACTATCAGTCGTCATCTATCTATCATCTATCTATCTATCTATCTATCTATCTATCTATCTATCTATCTATCTATCTATCTCTTCAATTGATCTATCATGTCATTCCTCTGTGTCTGTCTACCTATTTCTTCAATTTATCTATCATCTATCATTCCTCTCTCTCTCTCTCTCTCTCTCTCTCTTCGTTTCCGGAAATATCCCTTTTTAAGGACATAGTCGTTCTCCCAATTCTGATCTCAGCTCACTTATAATTCCTAGAGGGATAATTAAAATCCTCAGCTCCCTTTTCCCTCACCAGCTTCTGACTTGCTCTGCTGATTTTCTGACAACCTGGTCCTTTCTAGAGGACCCGTAGTCCTCAAACACCTGGCTCAATTCAGAATGCCGGACCTTCTACCCTTTGCCCCAAGATGATAGTGTAGCCTCTGAGCCTTGCAGATACAGGATGCCTAGCCTCCACCACAGCAGAAAAACTGGATAGTCAAGGAAACCATCGGAGTAAAGACAAGGGATTCTATCTGGAAAGGCTAAAGGCAACTTCCAGGTTATGGATCCTCAACTCTACCATAAACAAAGACTTAGTGGATTCTTTCTGGCCAATATCCCGGTTTAAGAAACGAGAAATCATCATCTTACCAACGAGACTTTCCCAACTAACAAGGATTCTGTTTCATCATGCAATGCCTTCACGGTGGCAGCGATTTCCAGCGCAGTATTCCTGGTAAGGCTCTGCAGAGAGGGGACGGAGGGAGCTCATGAATATCCCAGCAACACAAAGCTGTACATTTAATTACAGGTAGTCCTCGACTTAGGGACCTTGGAGGTCTTCTAGTCCAACCCCCCGCTTTACTTCCAGGTTGGTTCTCTCCTTTGGGTGCTTTGGAGAGTAGCTTGACCCCCTCTTCTTTGGGGCAACCCCTCAAATACTGGAAGACTGCTCTCATGTCACCTCCAAGTCCTTCTCTTCACTAGACTAGACAAACCCAAGTCCAGCAGCCGTTCTTGATATGTTTGAGCCTCCAGCCCCCTAATCATCTTCGTTGCTCTTCTCTGCACTCTTTCCAGAGTTTCAACATCTTTTTTGCATTGTGGGGACCAAAACTGGATGCCATATTCCAGGTGTGGCCTTACCAAGGCATTATACAGTGGTATTAACGCTTCACATGATCTTGATTCTTGTTGAGAATTCTTATCAAGAACGTATCTGAAGACAGATCTTTCATTTTTCTTTCTTACCTCAGGGAATTTCGGGCCGCCTTTGGTTAAAGCATGGGAACAGGCATTCACCGCATGAGCCAGCTCTTGCTCCAAGAGGCTGTGAGTTTTGGCAGCTTCACAGATTCTGTGGAAAACAGCAGATTGGGGAAGAGAAGAGAAGAGAAGAGAAGAGAAGAGAAGAGAAGAGAAGAGA